GCAACTCCTCCTGTGCCTGTAGAGGGCTTTTCAGCATGGGGAGCCTTGGGTCTTTCTTGACCTGGGACCCCATCTTTCTTGCAGTGATCTACTATTAGTAATTTGGAAATAGGGGCTGAGGCTGTCTCTTGCCCACCGTTTGCTAAGGTGTCTGGAAAGAAACCACCCTCCTTTATTACCTGAAGAGTAGGAATGGTTGGTTTTTCACAGGCTGCTGATTCCTGAATAGAGGCAGTCTTGGGTTTTTCTTGACCTGGGACTCCAACTTCCTTACAGTGATCTACCACTAGTAATTTGGAAATCTGGGCTGGGGCTTTCTCTTCACCACTTTTTACCAAGGTGTCTGGAAAGGAATCACCTTCCTTTACTACTTGAGGAGTAGGAATGGGTGGTATTTCACAAGCTGCTGATTGCAGAGCTTCTAGAGAAGCTGACATATTCATCAGCCCTGATGGTGTTCTGGGACAGGTAAATGTAATATTTCTATTTTCATCCACATAGCCCATTCCTTCAATTCTGTGGTCCCCTGTGGTTTCCATGGGAACATGTATTTTTGTTGAATCTATCTTACTCTCCAGAATGCACTTCTTGGGAAAACTATTTTTAACCTTTTTATTTTTTCCATCATTACTCCTTTTATTTGGTTTGTCAGCCACTGCAGTGTGTCCCTTGGCTGCATCTGCCTTACCCTCCTCAGACAGTACTAAAGGAACAAATCCTGCCACCCAGATTTGGTCTTGGCAGCTCCCATCTGTCACCTTGGCAGCTGGTTCAATAATAGCAGAATCCTTGACTGTGTTTGTTTTGTTCCCCCAAGGGACCCCAAACTCAACATTTCTACCCTTTCTGACAACTACTTCCACTGTGGATGTATCTGATGTATGCGAGAACAAAGGATCATGCATTTTGGGGAAAATTAGCCCTAATTCCTTGTTTTTATTGGGACTATTACCATCATCTCTATCCTTCCCTACAAAAGGGGGGTTGAAGATTTCTTCCTTGCCCTCCATTCTAGCAGGCTGTGTGGAATAATTATTTCTTAACTTTTTGTTTTTGCTTTCATTGCCTCTCTTTTTAGGCTTTTCAGAAATCCAGGGTGCTACCTCCTGATCCATCCAAGGACACTTTCCTTCCTTGCTCTGGTTACTGACACCCATATCTTTGACTATGGCTCCTCTTTCTGTCCTAGCACCAGAATTCTGAGTCATGCCTGACCCATTTTCTAAAGGAATCAAGGTGCTTGCCACTCTAGAGTGAGTCATCTCCTTAGGCTCCCCCATCACCACTGCCTCGGTGAGGTCAGCCATGGTCTCCAGTTGCTTTGAAGAATCTGGCCCCATCTCCTCACTCTTACCCTCGGTAGTCATTCCTTTGGTTTTAGGGACTGGCTCACATGGCCCAAGAACAGCCCTTCCATGTTTCTGGCTGTCCAGAAGAAACGGCGACTCTGATTCTGCTCTTACCTTCCCAGAACTTGCTCTCACTTTCCCAGAACTTCCTCTTCCCTTCCTGCTTTTGCCATCACCTGACATTCTCTTGAATGGTTCGCTCTCTAGCCCAGGGACCTGAACTAACACCTGGTCCTGCAGCTGCTCAGAAGCAAAGTCTTGTCTTTGCTTGGGAAAAGTTTCCCTTTTTAGTTCTTTAATGTCTTCAGATTCTTCAGGAAACTCTTTCTGTGTGACATTCTGCAGCTGAGTCATTTTACTTTCATCATTCCCTTCTCTTAGACTATTTGCTAATGGACTACTTGCTGTCAAAGTGGGTGTCAAATTAGGCAGTTCTTTTGCTGCTGTGGGTTTTGAAACTTCACCCATAACCTCCCGGTCCAAGATAGGAACACAACCCTCTGTGGGTCTGATTTCCAAAGAAGTTTCCACTTTGTGTGTAGAAACTTCTGTCAGGGTTCCTTTCAGATTGAGAGGGCCTACTGTCTGGCTTTTATCCACAGGAGTCTTCAGGTGGGGTTCAGGCTGTGCTTTGTATTCATCCTGCTGCAGCAATTTCTTACCTTGACTCTCTGGTACTGACTTGTTACCTTTGCCCTCTTCCTCTACTCTTACCTTGGGCTGAGAATTTACTGCAGTTTTGGTGGGTTCTTCTGAATAACACAAAGTAATTCTGAGACCCTCTGAGACTATGTTATCAGTTACCAGTTGGGCTGCTCTGGAGTCAGCTACACATTCCTTTTTCAAGCTTCCTCTGGATACAAGTCCACAGTCCATGCCCATAGTGGTAGGCTGGCTCGGGAGAGCTCCTGATTTTTGTGGGTCAGCTGCAAAGGGATGACCTTTAGGCTCATTTGCATTGTCATCATCCCAAGGTCCCCCAGCCCGTGGTTGACAATATCTCTTTTGCTTTGGTTTCCTCTTCTTTTTCTTCATCATCATTGGTATGCTTTCTATATCCCAGGCCTCCCTACCATGATTCCTCTGGGGTTCAAGAAAGTCAGCATGAATACTTTTCCTTTGGTTCCCAGGCTCACCACAGGAAGATGAACCAGAGACCCAACACAATTCAGACAAAGAGCAGGGGCCCAGCCTGGGATCAAAAGTCTTCTGTGAAGGAGAGCCTCCCAGCAGCTCAGGAGGGACCCTGGCAGGTTTGGGTCGGACTGACCTGTGGTCACTGGGTCTGCAAACTTGTTTGGCTTGTGTGGGAAGAGTACCTGCAATACATGAAGTTGGCTAAAATTCCAAACAAAAAACTCTTTGTATTGCTTCTTTTTTTAAAAAAAAGTCCATTCTGCGACTCATTTCAGTATTCTATTTTCACCAATCCACTTACTAATTTGTTTAGGAAAACAGTTTTTTCCAAAACATTTCTCACCCTTCACTGGGGTTAGCAAATATTTAACAAAGATCATCATCTCAGGTAAAGATTTTTTTACAAACATATTTACAAAACATCTGAAATATTTCAAATCTTCTAACCTTTATACTAAGCACTTACTACCTATAAATCTCATCTGATTCATATTTATTATTATTTTTAATAGGTACATAAGTCCCAATTCTCAACAAAATGGCAAGCTCCTAGTGCTTATCTCTTTTTGGTGACATTTATTGATTGATTGAATTAATTATACATGATTTTAGAAAGAATTTACAATTCTAAGAGTCTGTCACCAATATTATACTAATACTTGTCAAACTAACCAGATTGATTCTGGAAACTGGACCAGAAAGCCAGACTTACGCTACTTTAAAAAAAAAAAAATAATATATATATATATATATATGTATAGAATTAGTATTTTGTCCAGAGAAGCATTCTTATCATTCTAGAACCAGAGCATCCTACTTTAAAAGACAAATGTGTTAGATTTCAATGTTCTGTTCCTAAATATACTTCCCCAAAGACAGAGAAATGTAATGTTAAGCAGGTTAATGAATTTCAACAATTAGGACGAGCACTCTTGGACAAGTTTCAGGAAGTTTTCTGGTCTAACCTCCTGTCTCCAAATCAATACAATATGGATCCAAGAACCTGGAAAGAGTCTCATTAAGAGTAGGTCTATGAAAGCTCCTGTCAAATCAGACTCAATGAACTGATTTCAAAGCATATTAAAATACTTAAATAGTATCTTTCGTTTTGTCCTTACCCCTCCAATGCCCTCTAAATCCTATCCTTTTAAAAAAATATCTCAGGTAACTTACTGCTTCTCTCAATAAATTGCTGGACTGCAGAACCCCACAGTATTTACAATATGAGGGTACTTCAAAAAGTTCATGGAAAGATTTGTATTACCTTTTAATGCTATTTTTCCACAAACATTGTGAAGAACCCTTGTATTCAATTTGGCAATTAATCAGTAATTTGGTACCATCTCCTATAGAATTTTATTCAATTATTATGTAAATCTTTGGTTTAAGAGTTCATGCTCAGGAACTACTCTTTCCATCCAGGTTATAATAACTCAAGGGCAAGGAACAGGACTTAAATACCCATGTGCCTTAGCATAGTATATTTTCTACACAACAAGCACTTGATAAATCTTTACTGATAAAGTCAGTAAAATAACTTTAAAAAAAAACCAGACCTTTATTTAGCTCCTACTTGGTGCTAGACAGTGTGCAAAGCAATAGGGATTCTAAGTGTAGAAAAGTAAACAGAAAATCATCAAGTTGATAATCACATGCATAGTCTTCTGGCTTATCATAAAAAACATGTAATCTTAATGTTCATTGAACAATCGAACTTTTTTTTTTTTTTTTTTGTTGTTGTTGTTGTTGTTGTTTCCTTTTTGTCTTTTTTCGTGTCCGGCAACGGATCACAACCCTCAGTGTCGCGCCCGTACCAGACCGGGACCAGCAATGGGATCGCAACCCTCGGCGTTGCCCCCACACCTCGCCCAGCCAGTGAGCGGGAACCGGTCTGTATGTGGGATCTGAACCCTCAGCGGGAGCGCCACCGCGCTCCCAAGTGGTGCACTGTAGCAATGCGCCACCCGGCCGGCCCGAACAATCGAACTTTTTAAATTGGAAAGTATCTTAGAACAGTTCCTTTCAAAGTTTTATGTATATAGGAATTATCTGGGGATCTTGTTAAAATTCATATTATGATTCTGAAGGTCTGAGGTGGAGCCCAAGATCCTGCATTTCTAACGAGCTCCTAGACAATGCAGATGCTCTCGGGCCAACACTGTAACTAGCAAGGCTTTACAGAACATTTGACCAATTTATTAATCTTATAGCTGAGTAAACTGAGATATAGACAAGTAATTTGCCTAAGATCACACAGAAAAGAATAGTGAACAGCTGAATTAGATCAACATTTAGGTATTCTAAGTTGATGTAGGGGTAATTTTTAAATACTAGTATGTAACAAGCTGATTTTCTGTCTAAACAAGGTGAAAATTAAGAGAAAATTGACTTCATAAACTACACTGCTGAATATTACCATACAACCAGGAAACCAGGGACAGTGTCTAGCATCATCACTCTGTTTGTTGCTCCCAGTTTAAATTGTTTCCAAGAGTCCATTTTGTTTTAACTTACCTAAAGTCTCTGAAGAAAGTTCAGGAGGTGGACTGATGAATGGTTCCTTTTGTTCCAGTTTTTCTAACAGAGAATCTTTGTCTGTTGGCAAGTTGTACTTTTGGCTCACAGCTGTGACTGGTTCTAAAGGTAATAGTAAAAACCACACAAATTTCAGAGAAGCACTATTTCAGCTATTTTTCCACCTGTCAAAATTGGAGATGGGGAATAGTTTTTGAGGAATTCTCCTATAAGGAGCAGCACAGAAGTGGAGTGGTAGCTGGAAGGTGGAAGGAAGGTGGAGTTGGGAGGATTTTTTTTTTAAGATGGGAAAAGTAACAAATATTTGTAAGTCTGTGGGAAGGATCCAATGGAAAGGGGATTAAATTGGTAAGAAGGAAAAAAAGGGGAGAATAGCTGGGGCAATAAAGTTAAGTAGGAAAGAGGAGATGAGATCTAGTGTAAAACAACAGAAGTTGGCCTTATTTAGGAACAGGAACAGTTTATTTTTAAAAATAGGAAAGAAGGCAGATTCTATGGATACAGATACAAGTAGTTGGATAGGTAAGACAGTAGAAGTTTGGGGATGTTGTATTTTATTGCTTCAATTATCTATAAGAAAAGCAGAAAGATCAGCAGAGAATTGAGGATCGACAAGGTGTTGGAGGTAGGAGGAGGGTAAAGGTCAGAAAGAGTTGGCTGGGAGAGTAGGAGCATAAATAGACTTGCAAAGTACACTATATCTTTATTTTACCTGACAAGATGTTTGTCTTTTAGTCTTCTGGAGACTATACCCTGGTAGACAGAAAGACCTGACAATAAGCACAAGCCCATACCTGGTGAAATCATGAAAGTAGGTGCAGCTGACTGCCTCTCATCTTGGAGAGATTCTGACTTCGAATCCTCACTCATTCCTTCCTGTATCTGTGCAATTTCCATGTCTTTAAATGGAACTGGTGCCACCTTTGTTCCTGAGAGTGGTGCAACATCCTTGGCTGGACTCACATTGTTAGCCAGGGCTACCTCTGATCCAGGGGGCAGAGCCACATCCTTAGCCAGGGCTACCTCTGTTCCTGGGTATGGAGCCAGGTCCTTAACCAGGGCCACCTCTGTTTCTAGAGGCAGAGGCACATCCTTGATCAGGGTTACCTCTGTTTCTGGGGGTGAAGCCACATCTTTGCTGAGGGCCATTTCTGTTTCTGGGAATTGAGCCACATCCTTGATCAGGTCCACCTCTGTTTCTGGGGGTGTAGTGACATCCTTGCCAAGGGCCATTTCTGCTTCTGAGAGTTGAGCCATGTCCTTTACTGGGGCTACCTCTGTTTCTGGAGGCAGAGCCACATCCTTACTCAGGACCATTTCTGTTTCTGGGGGTAGAGCCATGTCCTTGACTGGGGCCACCTCTGTTTCTAGGGGCAATGCTACATCCTTGGTCAGGACCACCTTGGTTTCTAGGGGCAGTCCCATTTTCCTGGCCAGGGCCATCTCTGTTTCTGAGGATAAGGCCACCTCCTCGGCTGATATTTCTGTAGATGATACCATGTCTTTAGCCAGTGCCACCTCTATTTCTGAGAGTGATACCATACCCTTGGCTGTGGCTATCTCTCTTTCTTTGGGTGGTACCATGCCTTCAGGTGGGACAAAATCCATTTTTATAGGTGGTGCCCTCTCAGTTTCTTTGAAAAGTGTTATATCCTTGGCTGAAGACACATCGGTTTCTGTGGGCCATACAACATCCTTAACTGGGGCCACTTTTGTTTCTATGGGTAGTACCATGTCCTTGACTAGGGCTATATCTGATTCAATGGATGGTTGCATGTCATCCTTGGCCAGTGCAACATCTGATTTGGTGGGTAGTTCCATATCTTTAGCCAATACCATCTCTGTTTCTGTGGTCGGTGCCATATCCTTGGCCAGGGCCATTTCTGTTTCTCTAGATGGTGCCATGTCAGTAGTCTTCAGTCCCATCATTATTTCAAATGCTTCTGTTGGTGACCTCTCTTCTGCTGATGCCATTTCTAACTCCTTGGTTAGCTCTAAGGGAAATAAGTTGGAAATTTAGGACTCATTACTGTCCACTCAAAGCTCTGCATTCAAAACTTACTTTCTTAGGGCACAGGTGTATTTGGCTCTTTTGACCCTAAGACCCTAAACATAACTAAGAAGCTGTTGAGTTAATAAATTCTTCCTACTCTTTGATGGTCCTAACACTTAGAAGAATAAGATACTAGGAGAACAAGTAGTGAAAGATAAGAGGTAAAGGAGACAGAAAACAGGTTTAAAAATTAATATGGGTTCATAATTAGTATTAGAAAGGGATCCTGTGGGACAGTTGCTCAGTCATCCTTCATATTAAGAAAACCCCCCAGAATGCTAAATCTGTATTGAATTAAAAAGGAATTTTCTTTGCTCATTAACCCCAAGTGTTATATTTCAACTATAATTTAATTCCTCCAGCTGTAATATCACTAATATAAGCTTAAAAATACTGGTAACAGTGCTGAAATTTTTATCTATATTTCCTGTAAGCTGCTAAAAAAATACATCTGATGTTTTATATTGATTATCGATACTGTAACCATTTATTGATAAAAGGGGTTTCAAATAATGTACCTGCTGTTAGCTGTGGAGGTTCTGTAATGACCTCTGGGGAAACAAAGGATCCTGAGTGTGAAGTGTTTGGGGATTCCACAGACCACCCCTGAGGTATAACAGCTGTGGGAGCAAACGTGTCACAGGGAGACATACCTAATATTGAAACACAAACACATTTTTGAACTTTGATCAACACAGGGGGAAAAAAGGCATTTGATATTTAAAATCAGCTTCATACATTGCCATGAAAACACAGACTAAGGACCAATAAAAAACAAAGCACAAAAGTTTTAAAGGACATACCACTGACATTCTTCAGGTTTTGCCTGATTGTTAACAGGTATTTAGTATCATGACATCCTGGTAGTGCTATTAATCATCATTTATTGGCTACCTGCTATAGGGTATTATAAAGATTCAAAATACCAAAGATTGAACTCTGGCTCCAACACCACAACCAATGTAACATAGTGTATAGTAAGGAATTGTAACTTTAATTTTTTCATCTGTAAAATGAGATTAACATCTCTCTTTCCACCATTAGAAGACAATTTTATAAAAATGCTTTGTAAAAGAAAATTAAAAAAATAAAAATGCTTTGTAAATTATTAAAAGCTACTCAAAGATTATTATTATTATGCTGTCCTATGCCAGAAATAGTAGGAAATTTAATATCACATGGTCCCTGCCATGGAGATTATCACAATTTAGCTACAGGCAAGATACCCATATATCAAATAATGCATACTATATACTATGAACTAAGTGCTACAGGAGTTCAAAAACAACCACAAAGACTAGAATAAACACAGAAGGCTTCAGAGGAGAAGTAAAAGCAGAAATAGAGAAGGTAGTCCAGTTCAAGGAGAGAATACTGTGCAAAAAAAAAGCATCAAGATGCCAGCAGCATGAGAATGTTTCTTGGACTATGTGATCAGTTTGATTCAAATAGATCTTGCATATCAGAGAGGAAAAACAGGATTAGAACAAACAATGTAAAAAGGAACCTGAAAGCCAGACAGAGAAATATAGAATTGAAGAGAAAAAAGATAGGGTGTCTTTTAAGGTCTTAATCATTAAAATGAGAAAATGAATATAGAACAGTGACTCAAGATGATTAATATAGCAGGTATATTCAGAACGTATCAGAAAGGGAGCAGGAAGGCTGAGTAGGAGACTACTGGGGTGGTCTAGATACGAAGTGACAGGAGTTTACACTGGGGGAAAGCAGAGGGAGGATAGAAGAGAAGAAAATTGCTGTAAAGAAAGAAGTCAAAGCAACTAGATGTCTCAGTACCTAGTGAGCTGAAAGAACAGAAGTAAAAGCCATCAAAGTATTAGGAGACCAGATGGATAACATTAACAGTCTACTCATTTAACATCTTTCTTCTAAGAGATCTTCAGTCCAAAGAAAAGCACAAATGAGACATATCATCAGCCAGGATCTTTACAAATATAAAATTGTAAACACTGTTTGATGTGGAACTCATTGATGATGGGTACCCTGGCCCCATTCATGTTGATAGTTATATAATACCAGGAATGGGGATACCACTATTTATTAATAACTAAGATCTGTTCAATGTGTACTATGTACCAGACACTAAGCTAAGTGTTCTGCATAATTTTATTTTACTACCACCACATCTTTAAGGTACAAACTAGTGCTGGCTCCATTTTATAGATAAAGAAACCAAAGTTTAGGGGGAAAGTAACTTGCGCAAGGCCATGAGCTAGTAAAATGAAGACACAGAATTTGGCCCTAGGTTACAGGACTCAGGTCCTATGGGAGGAGGTCAGCAGTCCCTGAAATGAACAACTGTGAATTCTCTCCTTTAATCTAGATGGGACCTTGTTACAGCTGGAGCCCCTAAATCTGACTTTGCCTAGTGGTTAACTTCAAGGGTGATGGTGAAAATCCACACTGGTTGTTTGGAGTTAAAGAATTGTATGAGACCAGAATTTCCCACCCTAAAATATGCCACTTTGTCATCAGGATTATTTTGAGTTGAAGTCAACTGAGAAGCAGATACAAGAAAAGCTCTCTGACCTCCACCTATTTGCCTAAAGTTTGATGTAAAATTTCAAGGGTGTCTATCCTCCATTCTCTGTCAGGGAAAACAACGGTTGATCACTGTAGACAACTTTAGAACCTTAGCCTGGAGATGGCACCACAGGAATCTACATAACAAACTGTTCTAACTAGCCTTCATCTACCATTTATTTGCTTCCTGCAATTTGCCACTTCTGGAGACTCAAAGTCCTTTTCCTTTATCTTCATCACTTCTAATAAAAATTTATTGTTCTTTGTTGAAGATGCTACTTAAGATGGGGTTCTAAAGCCACCTCTTTGAGAATTACTCATTCCCTGGATACCTCCCATGTATATGTGAAATATACATGTTAAACTTCAGTTTGTTTTTCTCTTGTTAATCTGTCTTCTGTTACAGAGGCTCCAGGCAATGAACCTAAAATGGGTAAAAGAAAAAATTATTATCCCTTCCCTGTAGAATAAATCCAGTTGAACGAGCCATACCATAATTGTCTTTCAGGGGATCATTTTGTCCTGTAAATGTTGTTCTACCAGAGAGAAAGAGCAAATCTGCCAGGCCGTCCTCATGGTGCATCTTAAAGGGATCTAGAATAAAGAAGGAATCCAAAACTCATTCCCAGTAAATGCAACTAGAAATATTAACATTTCTTATTATCCTCTGAATACAATTAGTTAAATGTGTGTTGTGAATAGTAAGTTGAGATCATATGTGACTCCTCATGGTAAGAAATCAATAAATATTCCCTAATTCATTTGTTGTGAGTTAATAATATGTAATCCCTTACTCTCTAAGATTTATCTAAATTGGACAGCCAACAAATGTATAAAACTAAAAGGACAACTAATGCTCAACTCTATAACATACTGTACTAAGAGGTCAAAGTATAGAGAAAAGTAGAATTGCAATTTATATTTACATAATAGACATTCATTTTAATTTATTTTTTTAAAAAAAGGACAGCCATGGGCCGGCCCGTGGCTCACTCGGTAGAGTGCGGTGCTGATAGCACCAAGGCCCCGGGTTCAGATCCCACATAGGGATGGCCGGTTCGCTCACTGGCTGAGCGTGGTGCTGACAACACCAAGTCAAGGGTTAAGATCCCCTTACCAGTCATCTTTTTTTTAAAAAAAAAAAAAAAAAAAAAAAAAAAAAAAAAAAAAAAAAAAAAAAGGACAGCCAGAGCCAGAACAATAAAAAAAATTTTTTTAAATAAAAAAAGAGGCTTCCAGTCAAGATGGTGGAATAGATGGTCCCCAGTGTCACTCTCTTCCACAAATCAACCAATTTACAACTATTAAAAAGCAACAACAGCCAAGCTGGGGCCAATAGGGCTCAGGGGAAGAGGAGAGACCTAAAGAGTACATGAAGGTAGGAGAAGCCACGATGAGAGAAAGAAAAAACCCTTCCGACCATTTTGGGCTGCAGCTGCTTTAAGGCTGAAGCTACTGAGCGCACAGAACAAGAGTCAGCAAAAAACCACAGCTGTGCCCTACGGATGGAGTTACTTGGAGTTAGCAGGAGAGAAGAGGGCCTTTGTGGCCCCCGGGCCAGCAAGACCACTAATAGGGATCCCATGGACCCACAAAGGAGTGAGGAGCCACATCAACTGAAAAAAAGGAGCCACTCAGAGGCCAGTGAGGCATCACAAGGGACCAGCATATGGCCCGTCCCACGTGAAGTGTTTGGAGTGCAGGCAGTGGGGGAGACGGGCCATCAGGGGAACGCTGGGGCACAGCAAGGACAGCTGATCTCCACAACCTTCTCAGTGAAGGACCACTCAGAGGAGACTGGTCAGGAATATAGAATTGCATGGGGTGCAGTTTGATGAAAAGACTCAGGCCCAGATCAGAGTTTCTACACAACCCAGGTGCACCAGGTCTCTGGAGAGCTGGAAGTACCTATAAAGTCAAACATTAAAACCTGAGCTGCTTGGGGCCGGCCCAGTGGCGCACTGCTACAGTGCGCCGCTTGGGAGTGCGGTGGCGCTCCTGCCGAGGGCTCGGATCCCACATACAGACCGGCTGCTTACTGGTTGAGCGAGGTGCGGGCGCAACACCGAGGGTTGCAATCCCGTTGCCGGTCCCGGTCCGGTACGGGCGCGACACTGAGGGTTGTGATCCGTTGCCGGTCACGAAAAAAGACAAAAAGGAAAAAAAAACCTGAGCTGCACAAAAAGCCTTCCCTAGGGAATAAGCAGCAAAGCAGCAATTTGGCTAAACCATGCAGCTCAAGTACTGGTCCCCACAGAAGTTCCCCCATTTTAGAAGTAAGCAAGGGACAAAAAATTAGTTCTGGGGACCCCCCCCCCAACCAATTACACCACCAGTGCCTTGGGGCTGCCCAGGGACCTGAGGCATGGAACCAGGGACCCCACAACCAGGCACATTGCCAGTGCCAAGGAGCATGCCAAAAACATCACCTCCATGTGGGTGGCCCACCACAATAACCATGGCTGCTGCAAAAGTGGCTAGATGTCACAACCACCACACAGATGGTCTGCCAGCCACTGGAGGGCATTGACACAAGGAGCATCACCAGCAGAGACCAAAGAAAAGAGGAGGATCTCTCTCTGCACAAAGCCCATTCCAGAGTGACAGAAGCAGCATCTGCTCTATGATAATATTGGGGGAACTGAACACACCTCTCAGTTTTGGACAGATCATCTAGGCAACAAATCAACAGAGTAACCATTACTCTTTCAGAAGGAGAGAAGAAATCTAGGGTTATCAGAGGTGGGAGTGGGGAGGTAGAGGGGGATAGGGAGAGATTGGACAAGGGGCATAAAGAATAAGTACGATTTGTAACAATATATATGCTAGTGATATTGATTTGATCAACATATGTGAATGTTGAACCCCAAAATACATATAATCAATTATGATTCAATAAAAAAAATTTTTTTTAAAAAGTAGAGAGAGATGAAATAAACGAAATCAATAATAATTATATACTTTTGCTAAGGTCAGAAAAAGGATGGTTTTCGTATTCATTGAGATGATCTGTATATATTAATCATTTAAGGATTTGTACTATTTAAGGTTACGTGCATACTGTAATTTGATAAGTGATTTCACATTTGTGATTTTAAGTTGAACTTTATTAGAGAACTGGGTTAAGTTGGTAAACACTATTAGTCTCTTTAAGAGAATTCACTATTACAATTTTGATTTATTAGATTTTTGAGAGTTGTTTATGCACCAGAGAGATTTTGCTTCTTAGTTCAGAAAATAAAGTCTACCAACATTGTAAATCAGATTAAAATGCTTAAGGGAATTTAGGTAAATTTACAAATGGACTGGTTGTTCAAGGTACTTAAGTTTGCTCCAGTGGAGTTGATAATTTATCTATGAGCCCTTTTGAAAGTGATTGCTAAAAGTTACTAGATTTATGAATGAAATCATATTTCTGAGCTAAACTGAAAGGCTTAATTAAGGAAAACTACCTTTTAAAAAATTTGCAACTTTAATAAATGTAATATTTGAAAATTCAAAAAAAGAAGATATTAATTTGTGTGTATTTTATCTCATATCTCATCAATGTATTAAATACTCACACTGGCTCTCATCAAAAAATAAAAAAATAAAATAAAATAAAATAGGTAAAAAAAGGAAATTTTCACCTCATGTAGACATCATGAAGAAAACTTCATTTTAAAGGCAAGGGACTTGTCTGGTATCCTGAAACAAGGAATAAACTCTACACTCACAAGCTGGCATGCATAAAGGGACTCAAAACATGAAGTAAACTCTTTGTGCTTTCTTACATGAAAAAGACAAAGCTTGTCAGGCCAAGCATGAATTCTGCCTTCTAAGGAAGCCTTCTCGAAATAGAGCGTACATCTCAATTACTCCGAAGGCCAGTTCAAATAAAGATTGCTGGGTCCTGAGAATCTGCATTTCTAACTAGTTCCTTGGTGAGGCTAATGAACCACTCCATTAAGGCACTTCAGTTGTCAGAGGCAGCAGGATGAAAGGCCAGGTTTTGAGAGAATGTTCATTTCTGGCGCTGAGGCAGCTATACTACCCTCTTTTTGTAAGGGATTTCCGGGTGAGGGGAGACCACCACAATGGAGAGTGTGAACAAGCAGAAAGCAAGAATTGAAAAACTGCTGGGGATAGAGGAGGCCTGAATGCTACTTCTTCAGAACAACAGGGGAGCTGGAATACAAGAACAATTATGAACATTCATTCTCCCCAGTTCTACATGGTTTAGGGTAGCTGCTGCTTGCTCAGCCTCTCACACTTCCCCTGAAGTAAAACAGAATGCTTAAAGCATCAAACAGATTAAGTGCTGTATGGCTTGCACATTTAGCAATTGGGGATTGCTAAATCACACGTAAAAATGGATGACTTCTACAAGGTTCAGTCATTTATTCATTAATTTTTTACTAGGTGCTTACCAGGTGGCAGACCTGCTATGCTCTAAAAACCCAAGATGTACAATGTCAGGGATGGGAACATTTAGCAGAGGGAATATTTTCATTGTACTAAAGGAATATCTTCACTTGACAAACACTAAAGCTGAAAAACAAGGAACTGAGCAGTTGGGGGACAGATGACTTTATCTACATTCCCTCTCATCCAATCTCACAGTTTAAAACTCCATCTACAGGTTGATGACATCCAAATGTATATATACAGCCCTCTAGACCTCTCCAATTATTTCTGGTCTTTTAAATCAAATTACCAACTCTTAATGTATAGAATAAAGCCTAAATGTAACATGTTTCCTAAACCTACTCCTCACACAGTCTTCCTATCTCTAATGGCATTCTATCCTTCTTTTTGACCCAAACCTTGGAGTCATCCTTGACCTCTCACACACCACATCCAGTCCACCAGAAAATCCAGTGGACTTGACCTTTAAAGTGTTCCCCAGAATCCAACCATTTCTCTCCCATCTCCACTGATTAGGGGGGGGTCTCACAAGACTGTAGTTAAGCCATTGGTCAGGGATGTGGTTATCTGAAGACTTGACTGGGGCTGGAGAACCTGCCTGGAAGACGGCTTATTCACATGGGTCCCGAGAATCTGCAGGTGACTAGAGGCTTCTGTTCCCCTCCAATGTGTGTCTCTCCACAGCTGCTGGCTTTCCCAATGGTGAGCAAACCCAGACTGACCAAGATGGAAGCTGCAATGTTTTGTGTAACCTAATCTTAGAAATTACATACCATTATCTCTGACATCTATTTGATTGATCACACTGACCAAGCCTGGTACCACATGGGAGGTGACTGCATAGGGCATGGATACCAGTAGACAGGGATCACTGGGTGCTATTTTGGTGGTTGGCTACCACCCTTGACTTTCAGGACATTAAACTTTCCTCAGTTTTCTCTTACTTCACTCCTCTTTAGTCATCTTTGCTGTCTCCTCTTCTTCCTGATTTGAATTAATAATTAAAAACTACTCATGAAGGGGCCGGCCTGTGGCTCACTTGGGACAGTGCGGTGCTGATAACACCAAGGCCACGGGTTCGGATCCCATATAAGGATGGCTGGTTTGCTCACTGGGTGAGTGTGGTGCTGACAACACCAACTCAAGGGTTAAGATCTCCTTACCGGTCATCTTTAAAAAAAAAAAAAAAAACTACTCATGAAGAAAAGCCCTGGCAAGACAGCTTGGCCAGTGAATTCTATCAAATATTTAAAGAAGAATTAAAACCCATTCTTCTTAAACTCTTCCGAAAAAATAAAAGAGGAGAGAACACATCCAAATTGATTTTGAGACCAATATTACCATAAACAAACCTAGACAAAGTCATCACAAGAAAAAAAAATTATAGACCATTATCTCTTTAAATATGGCTTCAAAAATTCTCAACAAAGGTTCATAAGTGTGTCAACATATAAAAAAATTATACACTGGGCTAGCCAGTTAGCTCAGTTGGTTAGAGCTCAGTGTTATAACACCAAGGTCAAGGATTCAGATCCCCGTACTGGCCAGCTGCCAAAAACAATATGAAACAAAACAAACAAACAAAAATTATACACCACAGATCCCCACACCAGCCAGCCACAGAAAGAAAAGAAAGAAAAGAAAGAAACAAAAGAAAGAAAAGAAAAGAAAAAGAAAGAAAGAAAGAAAGAAAGAAAGAAAGAAAGAAAGAAAGAAAGAAAGAAAAGAAATTATACACTATGACCAAGTGGGATATATCCCAGGAATGCAAGGTTGGTTTAATATCCAAAAATCAATACCTATCAACAGATTAAAAAATAAAACCATATGATCATCCCAATAGATGCAGAAAAACTATCTGACAAAATCCAACATCCTTTCATAATAAAAACACTCAATAAATTAGAAATAGAAGGGAATTTTCTTAAACAGATTTATAAACATCCTCAGCTAACATCATACTTAATGGTGAAAGACTGGATGATTTCCCCCTAGAAATAGGGAACAAAGCAAAGATAACTACTCTCACCACCTCTATTCAACATTGTACTAAAGGTTCTAGCCAGGGCAATTAGGCAAGAAAAAGTAATAAAAGGCATCCAAATTAGAAACGAAGAAGTAAAACTAAACCTGCAGATGAAATGATATTGCACATAGGAAATCATTAGGAATCCACTAAAAAACTATTAGACCTAATAAATTAGTTTAGCAAGGTTGAAAAATATAAAATCAATAAATAAAACTCAGTTATATTTCTATACACTTGCAATGAACAATTCAAAAATGAAAGTAAAAAAAATTACATTTCACAGACAGCATCAAAAAGAATGAAATACTAAGAACAAATTTAACAAAGAAGGTGTAAAACTTACACTCTGACAACTACAAAATATTGTTGAAAGAAATAAAAGATAAATGGGAAAACATTACATGTTCATGGATCAGAAGATTTAATATTGTTAAGATGGCAATACTCCCCAAACTGATCTACAGAGTCAATGCAATTCCTATCAGAATCCCAGCTGACTTCCTTGTAGAAATTGACAAGCTGCATCTAAGATTCACAAGGAATGACAAAAGACTCAGAATAGTCAAAACAATCTTGAAAGAAGAACAAAGAAGACACACTTCCCAACTGCAAAACTTGCCACAAAGCAACAATAATCACGACAGTGTAGTACTGGCATAAGGACAGACATACAAATCAATGGATCCAAACTAAGATTTGAGAAACAAAACCATGTGTGCATTGTTAACAGATTTTCAACAAGGGTGCCAAGACCACTCAATAGGGAAAGAATAGTCTTTGCAAAAAATGGAGCTGGGAAAATGGATACTCACATGCAAAAGAACAAATCTAGACCCATACCTCTCACCACATAAAAATTTACTCAAAATGGATCAAAGACCTAAATGTAAGAGCTAAAACTATAAAATTTTTAGTACAAAACATATGGATAAACTTGGATTTGGCAACAGATTCTTAGATACGACACCAAATGCATGCAACAAAAGAAAAGAGAGATAAATTGGACTTAATCAAAATTAAAAATTTTTATGCATCAAAGGATACTATCAAGAAAGTTAGAAGACAACCCACAGAATGGGAGAAAATATTTGCTAATCATAAATCTGATCAGGTCCTAGAATATTAGGCAGAATTAGGTAAGAAACAGATAATATGTATATAAAGGCTTTAGCACTGTGCTTGACCAAAACAGGCACACATCAAATGATGCTATTATTACTGTAATAATTCCTTTTGGAAGAATTAAGGTTCTAAGGTACTACTGATCCTTTAGTCTTCTAAGGTACTACTGATCCTTTAGTCTTCAATGGATATGAATTTCAGATAATTTATTCAAAACAGATTTTGAGAGGAGAAAACTAGAGGGCATTAAGTGCCTCAGAAGAAAGGACAAACAGAGAAGAAAAAGGGTCAACTGAATGCTCACAGGAAATAATTATACCTTGGTTGTACTTTAAAAGCTATATTTAGGCTAAAATGTTTTATCTGAGTATGGTTGAGGCTTTTTCATACTTACATCATAGCTCATATTCAGCAGTCACAGCAAACCTGCACTTACCAGTCTGGATAGGATTCACCACTTGCTCAAGCTGGAAACATAAGTTTGTATCTTCTGGCCAGTTCTGGCTGTTCTGATATTCCTGGTAGGCCATTTTCTCTTCAAGGAATTCAGTTGGAGAACCTTAAAATAAAGAAATAAACAAAAGTCACAAGGTATCACTGTTCTCTCCTCACTGGAGTGGCATTTTTTTTCCCCCTTTTTGTCTTTTTTACTGACCGGTAACAGGATCGCAACCCTCGGTGTCGCACCCATACCGGGGACCGGCAATGGGATCGCAACCCTCGGTGTTGCGCCCACACTGCGCTCAGCCAGTGAGCAGGAACCAGTCTCTACATGGGATCCGAACCCTCGGCGGGAGCGCCGCCACACTCCCAAGCGGCGCACTCTCCAGTGCGCCACCGGGCCGGCCCTGGAGTGGCATTTCTATAAAGTACTATAGCTAGCACAAATATAATCCGATCATATCTAGCTAGTGCCTTTTGAGAAAACTTTTTTTTTTTAAATTTAAAGAGAGAAGGAAATAATCAAAGTACTAGAAGATAAGGTTGTTACTGAGGTCACATTTCAGAGTGACTTCTGGTTATGTACGCATGAAGAGGTTGGTCATTTCTTTCCACAAAATAAAAAGTAAAAAATTAGATAAAATTATCAAAAGCAACCATTTCAGGGCACAAGAATTCAAAAAAAAGGCAGACCTAAGTAAATGGAAAGATATACCATGTTCTGAACGGAAGATTCAATATTGTTAAGATGGCAATTCTTTTTTTTTTTTTGTCAAGTATTAAAATACAGGTTATACTTAAATCATTCAAAGTTTGGCATGTTCACACATGTGCACAAAGTATTTGATAGATATTTACACACTGGGAGACACAATTATGGTCTGACTTTGGAGTTTTGGCAGATCTGGGTTCAAATTCTGGCAAGTTTCCCTACTAGCTTTTTTTGGGTGCGTGTGATCCGAACCCTCGGGCGGGAGCGCCGCCGCGCTTCCCAAGCGGCGCACTATCCAGTGCGCCACCGGGCCGGCCCAAGATGGCAGTTCTTAAAACTGACTAATAGATTCAAGGCAATTACAATTAAAATCCTAGTAGAATTTTTTTATGACATCAACAAGCTCATTCCATAAGTTATATGGAAAAGTAAAAACCTAGAATAGCCCAGACAATTTTGAAGAAAAACAAAGTTGGAGGACTTATATTACCTGGTTTCAAAAGTTACTATAAAGGTACCAACTCAGTGTGGTACTTACCACACACATAAATAAATGCAAGAGAATAGAGTTCAGAAAGAAATCTAAACAGTTCTGGTCAATTGGTTTTCAACAAAGGTGCCAATATAACTCAAAAGAGAAAGGACAGTTTTTTTCAACATATGTTGCAGAAACAATTAGACTTCACACAATTATGTAAAAGTTAACTCCAAAAAAGATCAAAGACCTAAATATGAGTTAAAACTTAAAAAACCTGTAAAATAAGATAGGAGAAAAATCTGTGACCTTGGATTAGGCAAAGATTTCTTAGACATGTCACCGAAAGCACTATCCATAAAAGAAAAAAATGGATAAATTGGACATTATCAAAATTCAAAACTTTTGCTTTTCAAAGATACCATTAAGATGATGAAAAATGAAGCCACAGATGTTAAGAAATTATTTGCAAATCATAAAATCTGATAAAGAACTTCTATGCAGAAGAGATTAGAATGTCTTTCAACACAATTATACAATTGGGTTGGTCAGTTAGCTCAGTTGGTTAGAATGCAGTGTTATAACACCAGGCTTAAGGGTTCAGATCTCTGTACTGGCCAACTGCCAAAAAAATAAAACAAAAGCCAAACAACAACAACAAAAAATTATGAGATAACTCAATTTAAAAATGGGTAAAATATTTCAGCAGACATTTCACCAAAGAAAGTACACAATGGGAAATGTGCACTTAAAAGAAGCTCATCATCATTAGTCTAGGCAAATGCAAATTAAATCTACATTGAGGACCAGCCCTGTGGCACACTCGGGAGAGTGCAGCGCTTGGGTGCGCAGCGGCGCTCCCGCCGCGAGTTCGGATCCTATATAGGGATGGCTGGTGCGTTCACTGGCTGGGCATGGTGCGGGCGACACCAAACCAAGGGTTGCGATCCCCTTACCGGTCACACACACGCACAAAAAAACTACATTGAGATGCCACTACATAACCATTAAAACGGCTATAATCAAAAAGACTGATGATAGCAGGAGTTTGTAAGGATGTGGAGAAACTGGAAACCTCTTACATTCCTGGTGGGAATACACAATGGTACAGCTACTTTGGAAAACAGTTTGATTTCCTTTTATTTATTTTTTCATAACAACTTTATTGCAACATAATTCATACCATAAAATTCATTCTTGTACAGCTGCCAAAAAAAAAAAAAAAGATCACCACTATAAAGTGTAGAATTCAATGGTTTTTATTATATTCATAGAGTTATACAACCATCACTACTAGGTAATTTCAGAACATTTTCTTCACCCCCCAAAATAAGCCCCATACCCATTCCCCTTTCCCACTTCCCCTCAGCCCCTGGCAACCACTAATCTACTTTCTTTTTCAATGGATTTGCCTATTCTAGATAGTTTATATAAATGTGGTCTTTTTTTTTTCCTTTTTGTCTTTTTTACTGACCGGTAACAGGATCACAACCCTCGGTGTTGCACCTGCACCACGCTCAGCCAGTGAGCGGGAACCGGTTTCCACATGGGATCCGAACCCTCAGCAGGAGCGCCACCGCGCTCCCAAGCGGCGCACTCTCCAGTGCGCCACCGGGCCGGCCCCAATATGTCGTTTTTTGTGACTGGCTTCTTTCGCTTAGTATATTTTCAAGGTTTATGTATGTTGTAGCATGTATCAGAACTTCATTCCTTTTTACAGCCAAATAACATTCCATCGTGTATATAAACTACACTCCGTTTATCCATTCATCAGTTGACATTTGGTTGTTACTTTTTGGCTATTGTGAATTATGCTGCTATGAACATTCATTTACAGGTTTTTGTATGGACATATGTTTTCAGTTCTCTTGGACATATGCCTAAGAGTAGAACTGCTGTGTCATATAGCAACTTATGTTTTTAACATTTTGAGTAACTGCCAAACTGTTTTCCAAAGTGGCTGTATCGTTTCACAATCACAACAGCAATATATGAAGTTCCAATTTCTCCAAATCTTCACCAACACCTGTTATTGTCTGTCTTTTTTATTTTAGCCATCCTAGATATGAGTGTGAAATGATATCTCATTGTGGTTGTGATTTCTATTTCCCTAACGACTAATGATGTTAAGCATCTTTTCCTGTGTTTATCAGCTATTTGTATGTTTTCTTTGAAGATATCTATTTAAATTCTTTACCCATTTTTTAATCAGAGTATTTGTCTTTTTATTATTGAGACATAAAACTGACTTTCCTGATGGTGTGCTTGCAGCACAAAAGCTTTTAATTTTGATGAAGTCCAATTCATTACTTTTATAATGTCCCTTACGTTTCTGGTATCATATCTAAGAAACCATTGACTAATCCAAGGTCACAAAGACTAATGGCTATGTTTTCTTCTAAGAGTTTTATACTTTTACCTCTTCCATTTAGGTCTATGATCCATTTTGAGGTAATTTTTAAATATGGTATATTATTTTTTGGCATATAGATATCAAGTTGTGTCAGCACTATTTATTGAAAAGACTATTCTTTCCCCATTGGTTTGTCCTGGCATTCTTGTGGAAACATGTTTCTGGACTTTGACAGTTTCTTATAATGTTAAACATAGACTTACCATATGACCCAGCAATTGCACTCTTAGGTATCTACCCAAGAGAAATGAAAATACATGTCTATATAAAGAATAACACATGAACGTTTACAGCAGCATTATTCATAATAGCTAAAAGTTGGAAACAACTTAATGCTTATAAAAAAATATATATATATACACCGGAATATTATTCAGCTGTAAACAGGAATGAACTGATAAATACTACAATATGGATGAACCTCAAAACCATTAAGCTAAGTGAGGAAAGCAAGACACAAAATACTGTATATTGTATGATTCCATTTATATGAAATTTCTAGAAAAGATAAATCTATAAAGACAGGAAACAGATCAGTGGTTGTTTGATGCTGTAGGTTAGAATGGAGATTGACTTTGTGTTTTTTTCTTATTGTTTTGGTTTGGTTTTTTTTGACAGCTGGCCAGTACGGGGATCCAAACCCTTGACCTTGGTGTTATCAGCATCACGCTGTAACCGAGTGAGCTAACCCAGCCAGCCCAGGATTGACTTTCTAAATGGGCTCAAGGGAACTTTTAGGGTGATTAAAAAAAGTTCTATAGGCAGACCCGCAACCTGGAGCAACTCGGAGGTGGTGAATAATAGCTCTTCAAGTCTCCGATAAAAAATGGCCTCCAGGGGCCGGCCCGGTGGCGCACTGGATGGGTGTGCCGCTTGGGAAGCGCGGTGGCGCTCCCGCCCGAGGGTTCGGATCCCACATACAGACCGGTTCCCGCTCGCTGGCTGAGCGAGGCGCGGGAGCAACGCCGAGGGTTGCGATCCCGTTGCCGGTCCCCGGTCCGGTGCGGGGGCAGCACTGAGGGTTGTGATCCGTTGCCGGACACGGAAAAAGACAAAAAAAAGACAAAAAAAAAAAAAAATGGCCTCCAATAAAACTACATTGCAAAAAACGGGAAACAGAATGGAAAAAGTAAAAAAAGTTGAAGAGACAGAGCCTGAAGAATTTGTGGTGGAAAAAGTACTGGACCAACATATAGTGAATGGGAAGGTGGAATATTTCCTCAAGTGGAAGGGATTTACAGATGCTGACAATACTTGGGAACCTGAAGAAAATTTAGATTGTCCAGAGTTAATTGAAGCATTTCTTAATTCTCAAAAAGTTGGTAAAGAAAAAGACTGTACGAAAAGAAAATCTTTATCTGACAGTGAATCGGATGATAGCAAATCAAAGAAGAAAAGAGATGCTGCTGGCAAACCAAGAGACTGCCAGAGGCCTTGATCCTGAAATAATTGGTGCCACAGACAGCAATGGGGAATTGATGTTTCTCATGAAATGGAAAGATTCAGATGAGGCAGACT